TTATATGTTATGATATCTACGCGTTTTCTTGTGCGTACTATTATTATCATGGCTTCATGAACTACTGTCATCACATTGCTTCACGTATATATGCGTGCCCTATTGAGTGTCCTCTCAGTATCACACGCGCTGTTTAAATAATTACCTGCTATTATGCGTCTCATAACATCATCAAGTGTTTCGTTTTATGTGTCCACATTATTTAATTGTCTGCATCGTGTTTATCTATGTGTATTCGGTGTTTATTTAGTTACGTGTATTTTAGTGTATCTTAGTGTACCTTTTTGTGTTTTTAGTGCTTTATATGTTTTTTTTTCTTATATGTTATGATATCTACGCGTTTTCTTGTGCGTACTATTATTATCGTTGCTTCATGAACTACTGTCATCACATTGCTTCACGTATATATGCGTGCCCTATTGAGTGTCCTCTCAGTATCACACGCGCTGTTTAAATAATTACGTGCTATTATGCGTCTCATAACATCATCAAGTGTTTCGTTTTTATGTGTCCACATTATTTAATTGTCTGCATCGTGTTTATCTATGTGTGTTCGGTGTTTATTTAGTTACGTGTATTTTAGTGTATCTTAGTGTACCTTTTTGTGTTTTTAGTGCTTTATGTGTTTCTTTATGTTTTTCTTTATATGTTATGATATCTACGCGTTTTCTTGTGCGTACTATTATTATCATGGCTTCATGAACTACTGTCATCACATTGCTTCACGTATATATGCGTGCCCTATTGAGTGTCCTCTCAGTATCACACGCGCTGTTTAAATAATTACCTGCTATTATGCGTCTCATAACATCATCAAGTGTTTCGTTTGTATGTGTCCACATTATTTAATTGTCTGCATCGTGTTTATCTATGTGTATTCGGTGTTTATTTAGTTACGTGTATTTTAGTGTATCTTAGTGTACCTTTTTGTGTTTTTAGTGCTTTATGTGTTTCTTTATGTTTTTCTTTATATGTTATGATATCTACGCGTTTTCTTGTGCGTACTATTATTATCATGGCTTCATGAACTACTGTCATCACATTGCTTCACGTATATATGCGTGCCCTATTGAGTGTCCTCTCAGTATCACACGCGCTGTTTAAATAATTACCTGCTATTATGCGTCTCATAACATCATCAAGTGTTTCGTTTTTATGTGTCCACATTATTTAATTGTCTGCATCGTGTTTATCTATGTGTATTCGGTGTTTATTTAGTTACGTGTATTTTAGTGTATCTTAGTGTACCTTTTTGTGTTTTTAGTGCTTTATGTTTTTCTTTATATGTTATGATATCTACGCGTTTTCTTGTGCGTACTATTATTATCATGGCTTCATGAACTACTGTCATCACATTGCTTCACGTATATATGCGTGCCCTATTGAGTGGCCTCTCAGTATCACACGCGCTGTTTAAATAATTACGTGCTATTATGCGTCTCATAACATCATCAAGTGTTTCGTTTTTATGTGTCCACATTATTTAATTGTCTGCATCGTGTTTATCTATGTGTGTTCGGTGTTTATTTAGTTACGTGTATTTTAGTGTATCTTAGTGTACCTTTTTGTGTTTTTAGTGCTTTATGTGTTTCTTTATGTTTTTCTTTATATGTTATGATATCTACGCGTTTTCTTGTGCGTACTATTATTATCATGGCTTCATGAACTACTGTCATCACATTGCTTCACGTATATATGCGTGCCCTATTGAGTGGCCTCTCAGTATCACACGCGCTGTTTAAATAATTACGTGCTATTATGCGTCTCATAACATCATCAAGTGTTTCGTTTTTATGTGTCCACATTATTTAATTGTCTGCATCGTGTTTATCTATATGTGTATTCGGTGTTTATTAGTTACGTGTATTTTAGTGTATCTTAGTGTACCTTTTTGTGTTTTTAGTGCTTTATGTGTTTCTTTATGTTTTTCTTTACATGTTTCCATTTATGTTTTATGTTTATGTCTTATTTTGTTCTACCTCTGTAACCATAACCTTCAGTTGTCTCACGTTCTTACAATGTACTACATGTAGTCTAGCCCTTGTATGGCCATGTTAACTTTTAAGATCCTAATAAACTTCCGGGGCGGCCTCATGGGGCTCCAGGGAGTTGTTGCCTCTACACAGTGGAGGACGCGGGGTATATGCCTGTTTACCTATATTAGACACCAGGCGCCCCCGTCCTCCGTCACCTGTTATCCTTGCTACTTAACTCCCCGTTGTAAAAAAAAAAAAAAAAAAAAAAAAAAAAAAAAAAAAAAAAAAAAAAACGAATTTAGTGTTAACATTTATTAATTAATGTTTATTTTTAAGAACTTGGTGTGGTAAAGGTACGAGGAATTGGAGTTCTGAACCACCCCCTCGGGGAGGAGAAGGATGTGACGACATATGCACACCTCGGACACACAGGTGTTTAATGAGAAGAGCTTTCTATTTTGTTCAGAGACTAATTGACAGAGAACTTTAAGGAAAAGTGTAGCGGAAATCCCCTGGTGCAGTTTCCGGACAGTAATTAGCGCATTCCAAGTATTTTCGGACAATGCTTGAATAAAACGAAAGATATAATCTTTTGTGTGAGCTTTTTATGTAGTGAAAGACTCAGAGAAAGACGCAATCCTGCGTCGTGGCTGCATCCAGCGGCCATTGTGTGATATTGGCGGGTTGTATGTTATTTAAAGAACTAAATTTAAAAAATATTAAAACACAGTTGTTCAAAAATTCTCACCAAATTTGTTACCTCAAGAACTATTTATTACTCGGAAATAACTATCTATATCTCTTTAGTTATTTATGACTCTACAATAATTAAATAATTCCTTTACTCATACTCTCAAAATGAGGAAAACAAAAGTTACACTAACTCTCTAAAAAAAGAACAACATCATAGTATATTGCCATTCTCTGAAACATAAACTGTTAAAAACATAGATAATAATAATATGAATAGATAATGAATAAAAAAAACCTATAGAGTAAAGAAAACGATTACATCTGCTTGAAGCTCGTGCAATATTACTCAGAAGCTGCAGTTAGAAAAAAATATAAACAAAAATATTAGAGTCAAAATATTGTTCATCCTCCCACCTTGCAATATGAAATTCGGGATTGAGTATTGCAAAATAATAAAAAATTAAACATTGTTCTCACAAGTCCAATCGATGAGGAACTCTAATTGTCCTTCCTGATTTGGTTATCGTGGGCGATTTTAAATGGGTATGGATTATTCTATTTGTTTCTACAGGTACATCATCAATTGGAGTTTGCTCTACCGAAATATTTTCGCATCGTTGACTTCCGCTGAATTTCGATGGAAGTTCCTCGGCAGTCGATAATTCCAAAGGATAAAGATTTTGTACAGCTCTTATGACTTCTTCTCCATTTTGCACTTTAATTCTGGCTCGTCGGCTTTCGCCGTCGGTATCTGCAAATAATTCTATGATTTTACCAAGAGGCCAATTTAATCTCCTTTTGTCATCGCTTCCAATTAAGACAATGTCTCCTTCTTTTAATTTACAACTTCTAGCGAATTTTTTGCTTGTTTTCAAAGTTCCCAGATATTCCTGGCGAAATCTTTTCTTGAAAACCTGGTTAACATTTTGGATATAACGTTTATAAAAGCTAGAATTGAAGTCATGTTTTACAATTGGCACTGAATAGTTTTGTATTTCTCGTAAAAAATTTCCAGGTGTTATGGAAGTGAGACTTGAATCAGCCGATACAACTGTTAAAGGTCTATCATTTAGGATAGCTTCACAGTTACACAAAACGGTACACATTTCCTCATAACTAAGGCAGGCTCTCCCAAGAACTTTTCTTAATATTCTTTTCATCATTCCTATGAGGCGTTCCCACCCCACCATGGAGCGCCTGGGGGAATGAACTTCCAAATAATACGTTCATTAGCTCCTTTTTTTGCAATTTCATTGAAATCGATTGAAGCAAGTGCATTGCATGCTCCAACAAAATTTGTTCCATTATCAGTATAAATTATGGATGGCTTCCCACGTCTAGCAGAAAAACGATGAAACGCTTGTAGAAATGTATCTGTCGTTAAGGATGTAACCAGTTCCAAATGAACACAACGGTACACTGCGCAAGTGAATAGGCAAATCCATGCCTTCTTGTAGTCTCTTAGAAATAAATATAGGTCCAGCATAATCTATGCCAGTTATTTGAAACACTGAGGCATCCTGTACCCGATCTCTAGGAAGTGGTGGCGCTGGTGGGTTAACATTTTTGTTTGAATAAACAGGTTATACAAGTTTTCAAAACGGATGACACAACTCTTCTTCCAGCTAATATCCAAAATCTTTCTCTTAAGGAATTTAGGACGTGAGAAACTCCAACGTGTCCTTTCAACTTATGTTCTTCCATTATTAAACTTCTTATAAGAGGATGATCACTTGGCAAAATAGCAGGAGTTCTGAACTCAGATGTATCTTCTCTTTGAAATATCGCTGTTTTAGTTCTGATGATCCCACAATCAATGAATGGATTAAGACTTAAAATCCGTTTATCTTCTATTCCATTAAAGGACTCATTTTGTATTAAACGAATCAAGATATTCTCTGCTTCATTTAACTCAGATACAGTAAGTTCACCTTTTTTTCTTATTTTGATGTTTACAGTTGTAAACAAAACGACACATCCACGCTACCAGTCTGATTGTCTTACGATAACTTGAGAATCTAGTAGCAACTATTTCACTAGCATTAAGATTTATTAAGGACGAAATAATCCTTTTCTTTTTCTCAAGAGCTATTTCTTCTTCATCAGCACTAAAATCTTCTTTTGGCCATTTTTCTGGTGATAAATATAGCCATTTAGGGCCTTCCCACCATCTGGATTTAATTAAATAAGAAGCAGAGCATCCTCTACTGGGCAAATCAGCAGGATTCAGTGATCCTGGTACGTGCCTCCAAGATTCAATAGAAGTCAGTCGCTTTATTTCATTAATTCTGTTGTGAACAAATACGTCCCATACTTCATTTCCTCTGTATCCAAGCTAGCACAGTAGACGAATCTGTCCAAAAATAAATATCATCAGCTTGAAATTCAGGTATTATGCTGGATGCTAAACGTGTGCACATATTGTAGCTCCAAGAAGTTCCAATCGAGCTATTGTTGTCTTTTTCCTTCCGCTGGGTGCAACTCTCGCTTTAGCTTGCACCAAATGAACTTGAACCGAATCTCTTGTTTGTACTCGAACAAAGGCCACAGCTGAATATGCAAGTTTACTCGCATCACTGAAGAAATGAAGTGAGATATTTTCAATCTCACGATCACAGTTTAACCATCTTGGTATTCTCATTCTTTCCAGACACTGCAAATCATTCAACCATTTACAAAATTGTGATTTTGAATTTGAATCAACTTCTTGGTCCCAAGATAACTTAACTTCCCATAGGTGCTGAAGTAAAAGTTTCGGCACAAGAGTTACGGGGCAAGCTATTCCTAAAGGGTCGAATATTTTGTGTGTAGTAGCTAAAATCTCTCTTTTAGACAAAATTTCTGGTAGATTGTAGGTGATGTTAGTAATATTAAGGCAAAGGTAATCTCCACATCGTTCCCAAATCATTCCTAATACATTTGTGGTACTAGAGGAATTATCTGTTGGGTCACTATATTCCCAACCACGTAATTCTAGCTTTCTTGTAGCTAAAGTATCTGAAGCAACTTGTATGAATTGTTGCAATTCTAAATCATTTTTCACACTCGCTAAACAATTATCTACATAAAAGCTCTTCTTCAATTGCTCAATAATATCCACTTTATACTTTGGGTTTCCATTTAGTTGTTTCAAAGTGGATTCTAGAAGATGGTGAATTACAGAAACTAGCAAGAAAGGGCTGCTTGTAACTCCAAATACTACCCTACAATGCCTGTAATACTTCAGTTTTCCATCAGTTCTATACCATAAGAATCTTAGATAGTCTTTATCCTTAGGGTTGAGACTTATTTGTAAGAATGCTTTTCGTATATCTGCAGAAACTCCTATTCTGTTCATTCGGAATCTATGAAGAATTGAAGGAATCAGTTCGATAAGGTTCTGACCTTTTTCTAGACAATCATTGAGACTAGGTTGATCCTTTTTGTTTGGCTGAGGCATCAAACACTGGCCTGATTCCTGTAGTATTGTTTTCTTTTACTACGTGTCGATGTGGTAGATAATGGCATGTTACATCAATTTTGCTTTTTGGTACTTCTTCTATGACGCGTTCTTGTTCCCATTCACTAAAAACTTCTCCATAAGCATCATAAAGTTTCTCAGCTTTTAGTCGTTTTACTGTAGAAGCTAATCTCTTTACAGCTAAGTCATAGTTATCTTTTAACGGTAGATGGTTATCAAGCCATGGTAAGCTGACTTGAAAACGTCCCTCTTCGTTCACCTTTACAGTAGACAAGAAATGATCTCTTGCTTCTTCTTGAAGTTCCAGTTTACTTTTCTTCTCTGATGGATCTAGAATTCCAAGTGAATCTAGAGACCATAGATCGGATATCAATATTTCCTTATTCAACATGGATGTGACGAGCAGTGCGGAATTGTCCGAGATCTCACGCATACCATTTTTTCCCGAAAAGAGTCCAACCAAGTTTTTGTTTCTATAGCAGCAAGGCCTGAAGTAAGCAATTTAAATCCTCCTCCGGTCATCAACTTGCCTGCAATGTCAGCGCCAATAAGTATTTCTATTGGTCCATTACTATCGTCGCATACGGAAATATTGTTCTCTTTAAGCTCTTGAATCCACTCGCCATTAGCAACTGGTGGTATACTTCCACAAATAATATCTTGGCTAAGAGCTTTGAAGTTACAATGATAAGTTCCATCCGTTTTAGACAAGAACACTGTAAAAACATCGTGGTTTATGACATCAGTACATGACCCGCCAAATAATGAATGGCTCAATCTTTTTTTAGATGTACTCTCAAATTTCATTTCATTTGCAGTGCTTTTTAGAATAAAAGATCTTTGTGAAGCTGAAACGATAATAGCACGGGCCTGGCGCTTTCTATCTCGCCCTTTCAATATAACCGTTAAAGTTTGCAAAAACACATTTGTTGTTCTCGCCAAATTGGCGAGGGTTTCATCTCGTTCAGGTACTGCATCCGTATTTTCATCCTTATTCGTGCTAACAGGAACTGGAGATTTTGATTCATCTTGGATATTTCTACATAAAAGTATGTGATGTTTCTTTCCACAAATCACACACGATGTTCGTTTTTTACATTTAGCTATTACATGTTTTCTGTCTAAACATAAAAAGCAACTGCGACTATTTAGAACTGCTTTTTGCCTTTCCTCAGACGTCATCTTTCTTGCTTTAAAGCAATCACCAGATGCATGATTTCCAGCACAAAAAATACATCCAGTTGAATTTTGTTCAGATGTTGCTATTAGAGTAGAAGCAGAAGGTGTTTTGGAAAATTCTCCACGGTTTTTGAAACCAAAGTGTTTAGCATTCCCAGGCTTAGGAGTCTGATATTTAGTAAAGCACTGAGTAGCTATAGATACTCTCTCTTCACCTTCAATTTCATCGAGCAAAAATGAAAGCAAACCATCTAAATCCATGCGATGTGTTGACACATTTTTCTCTTTTTGCTCACTACTTTCAGATTCTCTCTGACTGCGATTAATAACTCGGAATCTTTGCCATGCTCTTAATGTATCATCCGGCAATGACGATCCGACTAGAGAATAGAACATCACCACATATTTATCTCTAGCAACACCCAGAACTTCTAATGCTCTTAAGTTTTGAGTCTAAGTTATCATAAAGTTTTCGTAATGAAAATTTCTGCTGAGAGTTTTTTAATAATACTAACGAAAGTAGATCTCTAACATAGACTTCTATAAGAAGGTCTTCTTTCCCAAAACGCGATTGCAGTTGTTCTAAAGCTTTACTATAACTTTCGCCACCGGGCGGAAAGCTTTTGATTAACTCTTCAGCAGATGACCCTTTTTCCATAGACTGCAATAAATATGCAAATTTATCATGATCATCTAAATTGGGATCATTATCGATCTTTTTAAACTGGCCCCAAAATCCTAACCAGCTTTTAATATTCCCATCAAAAATCGGAAGTTTAAGCTTAGGATAACGTATAATAGTAGCATTTTGAGTTAAGCTTTCATTAACAACAGAACCGTTTTCCTTTTCAGCTAGAAGCGAAACTAATTTGCTTTCTACCATTCTCCACTTATCAATATAGCATTCTGACTCATCAAACTCATTATTTATCACAGTTTCATCTTTTTCAATTTTAATCAATTCTTCTCTATAAGTCTGTTTTATTTCAATCATAGCTTTCGCTTTGTCCGCAACTAATTTAAGTTTCGAAATTTTTCCGTCTAAAAATAAGTCATTTTCTTTCTTCTCAAAATCGTTTAAAGCTTTTGTAAACATTCTCCTAAACTGAGATCGTTTGCACTTTAAAACATCCATTATAAATAAACGAAAGAATTCTTCTTACAGATAACAGTCCAGTCAGAGGACGCCAAACGTTCAAAAACTCTCACCAAATTTGTTACCTGAAGAACTATTTATTACTCAGAAATAACTATCTATATCTCTTTAGTTATTTATGACTCTACAATAATTAAATAATTCCTTTACTCATACTCTCAAAATGAGGAAAACAAAAGTTACACTAACTCTCTAAAAAGAACAACAACATCATAGTATATTGCCATTCTCTGAAACATAAACTGTTACAAAACATAGATAATAATAATATGAATAGATAATTAATAAAAAAAACCTATAGAGTAAAGAAAACGATTACATCTGCTTGAAGTTCATGAAATATTACTCATAAGCTGCAGTTCGAAAAAATATAAACAAAAATATTAGAGTCAAAATATTGCTCAACAGTTCTTTTCTTTCACCCAACACGGGTGTTCAGACGTTACACCCCTATCATCGCCCCTGCTACAACAGCTCATGCCGGTGATTTCAAAATTCGATGAGTCATCATATTCGCTTGCTTGACTATTTTCCCTAACAACCGATTCGAGGTGTGATTTTTCATGTACAAATGAAAAGATTGATATAACTTTGTATCAGGAATTAATTTGTGAACTATTATATTTAGCGAATAGAACGCGTCCTGATATATCATTTGTAACTACTTATTTGTCACAATTTAATCATGTACACTGCTCAAAAAAAAAAAAAAAAAAAAAAAAATGGGACAGTCCTATATCTCCCGATCTACTGGGCCGATTGACAAAATTCAAATTGCGTTCTTCATGTCTCGAAAGCGCGACATAGGATATATATTAGATTTATATATAGCACTATTCTAACATAGGTATTTTGACACAAAATCGGACTTTTTCTGAAATAACATGCCAATTTTTTTACATATTTGGATTCTACGACTCAAATTACGCCTAAATATGAAATTTTATAAATTTTGGAGCGAAATTTACGGAGAAATTCACAAATTTATGTTGGCACTTTTTTGTCAGTTTGCGCCAAGAATATTTCACTTGGCGAACTTCTTAATATATGGCAACCTATTTTCCTTTCCCGTGTGAGAGGAAAAAAAGTCACCATCGTTCTTTTTTCCAAATAATATTCTTTATATTATATTTTTAATTAAAACTTATTATTTTAAGTAATTTTTTCTTTTTTCGAATTTTCATTTTAATTGTTTAAGTTGCATGGTTTTTTTTCGAATAACTGTTTTAAAATTTTCTATTTACCTATTCGAACTGCTTAAATAAAGGTGCCGCGTTTATTTTTTTTCAAATACTTTTCTTTATATATATTTTTTTGTCATAGTTATTATTTTAGGTAATTTTTAAATTCTTATAATTTTATTTTAATTGTTTGTGTTGCATTGTCTCTTCAGATAATTGTTTTAAAATTTTCTATTTATTCCTTCGAATTGAGCACTTTTAATATATTTATTATAAATTTTCCAGAATGTGATTTTATTTATTTGAATTGCGTTTCTTTCGGAGGAATACTTTGAAACCCAGACTACGATGCGTTTGAAAACTGCATATATTAAAAGAGAAAATACAGTAAAGCACAGTTAACACGCCTTTCAATATTCCGTTCAGAAAAGATATATATACAAATAAGAAAGACATTTAACTTAGGATTGCGATATTTTAACTTAGGATTACGTTTTATCATCGTGCCCATATTAGATATTGCTTTACACAATTTTATCCTACATATTGCCATATTGCTTTACATAATTTTATCCTACATTTGGCTTCTTAAATGTTATTCATATTTCAGTCAAATATTTTATTTTTGAAATCGTAAGAATCAAATATCATAAGATTAAAAGGTTTTAAATTAAAAAAAATACAAATACTAAATTTTACCCAAAAATTTATTTTTCCTTCTCTTTTTCTTCAGGCATTCTACTTTATTCTTGCTCTTTTTCTTTAGGCATTCCGCAAGTATATTAAAAAGCATCCAAATTTTCCAAATATCTTGATATTTCTGACAATCATTTTAAATAAAGTTATCGCCTTCCATTTCATAAAGGCCCACAAACGGCCGAGCGGTAAAGTCGCTGAAACCTGGTAGTTCGCTCCGGGGTTCGAATCCCGGTAAACGGGCTGGTTGCATGGGCGTTTTCGTGTATTTTCTTATGTGTACCGTGTATGCCAGCTGGTTTCCCTTAAAAAGTTCTTCACAAAGGCATCCTTCCTTTTAGGCAGATACCCCTGCTTTGACATAACTTAATAATCCAATTCAATCCATTTCATCAATATTTGGTCAGAGCCTTTATCAGTCTTTAGAGGCTAAACATTTTAAAAGTATGAGATGAAAGGAAAGACTGGTTTCATCAAGAGGTTTTGGTTTATTTAATTATGACAAAGCACACTAGGGCTATCTGCCTAAGGGGAGGGATGCCCTCGTGGAGGACTTTCTAAGGAAAACTGGCTCGCATGCACGTTACCATGGAGGTAGGAAGTAAGAAGGAGTCGCCCTAAAGAAGTTTCTCCGTACCCTGCTCTGAAGCACCGGCGATCCCTACGTGGTGACCAAAACATTGGGTCATTTACCATTGAGTTCTATGGGATTTGACGCGTTCGGGTGTAAATATTTTGTAATTACGTCGCAAATATACATATAAATGTATATATTTTCTTTTTCTACAACACTTCAGAGTCCTAAGTATGTGAAAACAACATATTTTTAAACAACATTTCATTCTGAACGGAATTAAATGCAGCTTTTCACAGGACAGTTTTCTCAGAATGGTTTAATTTGAATGAAATATTTTCACAAGTTTTCGTTAATTACATTAGAAAAAAAAATTAAGGTAATTCGATTTTATTCGGTTAAGGTACAAAAAATAAGATCAAAGTTTATTGTATTATTAATATTAAAATTATACATTATTTCTTTTCTATTTATAGAGCTTCTTCCTAAAATACTTTCTTAAATATGACATGATTTTTTGGCTTCTTTTAAATCGAAAAATGTAAGTCAATTTATAATTAATGCTCTATTCGGTTCATTTTAAATTAGAGAATTATTAGGAATTAGCGAAATACTTTAAATAAGTATTTCGCTAATTCCTAATAATTAAATAGGTATTAAATAGTATTTGACTTTCTCTGAACATTTCTGAAAGGGAATAAAATAAGTTTTTTTTTTTTTTTTTTTTTTTTTTTTTTTTTTTTTAAGTATTATTTAAAACTTGTAACTGAGTTATTATAAAATGTAAAGGGAATAATTCTTTTAATTATACTTATCAGATTTTTTTTTACCCTTCATTTTAACAATACATATTCCAAAAATCTTTATTACGTTCTTAAGTGCGCATCTCATAGCATTTGCTTTACAATACCTTTTAACAGATTGCTTTCCAATAGGAACAATTCTTGCTTAAATAGTTTTATAACGTATTTGTCAACAGGATTTCAATTTATGTTTACAATTCAATATTAAGGTTATTATATATTTAGATAACATTTATAATCATTATAAATTAGATACACTTAATCATTAGATTTTTTCACAGTACTTTCACAGTTGTTTATAAGTGAATAAATTCTTCATTTCAAATACATTTATAAATAATTTAATGAATATTTAAGTATTTTGTCAAAGGCAGATACATGCTTTTTGCAAGCACATGCATAAATACCCATACATATAAGTGCGCATCTCATAGCATTTGCTTTACAATACCTTTTAACAGATTGCTTTCCAATACGAACAATTCTTGCTTAAGTAGTTTTATAACGTATTTGTCAACAGGATTTCAATTTATGTTTACAATTCAATATTAAGGTTATTATATATTTAGATAACATTTATAATCATTATATATTAGATACACTTAATCATTAGATTTTTTCACAGTACTTTCACAGTTGTTTATAAGTGAATAAATTCTTCATTTCAAATACATTTATAAATAATTTAATGAATATTTAAGTATTTTGTCAAAGGCAGATACATGCTTTTTGCAAGCACATGCATAAATACCCATACATATTTCCTATTTATCATTTCCGGTATGTGCAAATCTTTAATTTCTGTGCATTCACTATATTTTTCGTGTAAAGTAATTTACACTAATTTAGCATACACCCGAAAGTTTTACATAAAAAATATATATGAATATAATTTGAATGAAAATTATAAGTATTATTTTTAATACCCACTCAAAGGTCAGTTTTTCTTCAAAATTCCTCCACGATGGCATCTCTCTCTTTAGGCAGATAGCCCTTGCATGCGTTACTCTATTTAATAAAAACTTAATCTGACCTATGTGCCTAATTACAAATATTTGAACATACATAATTTTATATTTACATTTAGCCATCAAGTTTCAAACTTTTCAAATCTTCTAGAAAATAAATTTTGGCAGATCTCTTTTAGCAATTTTCTTAAAAATCTATATTTGTAGTGTAGTGCAACAGCTTAGAATTTTATAAAAACGAATTCATAATCAAAATCGCTGTTGTTAGTTATCGAAAAATAACCAAGATGTGATTTTTGCGTAAAATTCAGTAAACTATACAAATTGCTATTATCCATTACACTATGAATGTTTCTTTCATGCGAGAGTGTCCCTTTTTCGATTTCTATGGAACTGTCGTGTGCCGAAATACTATCAGAATCTTGTCAAGCGAGCTTCTGAATGTAAACAAACAACACCCCGTCTGGTGACCCAAGCTTCAAAGCAGTGCTTGACTTCTAGCGCGGAATGGCCCCTCCTCCCTTTCTTACCTCCATGCACGTTACACATGGAGAAAACCACGAAAATGCCCATGCAGCCAGCCCGTTCGCGGGATTCGGACCTCGAACAGAATTACCAGCGTTCAACGACTTTACCGCTCGGTCGCTGTTTCATCAGGAGGAAAAAAAAACATCTTTAGGTGACATCCACATACATCACTGGATAAACTCCTGAATCTTCAAATAATTCGAATGAGAAAATCATGGGATTCTCCATT